CAGACGCGAGCGCTTTATATAAAGTAAGGATTACTAGTTATCAACAGGATTTTGATCTGAATGCCTAATTACGTGGAAACCTTTCAACAAACTGATAAACACTTCGCCGGTTCTGTCAGATGACAAAATAATCGGCTGTACTGAAAAATTCCTGACAGCACTTTACTGATAAGGGATTTGCACACGTCCCTATAAAATCTACCCGAACACTTCTAATTTGATGCACAAACTGATATTCATGTCCGAGCTACCTATGGCTCTCTCAGAAAAGTTTTCATAATTGATTTCTAGCCCGTGCAGGTGGTACTTCTAGATCCGAGAAATTTAAACTTGGAATCGATTTGTAACCAACCGGTAATGCAATGTACGTTTACTAGCGCGTCATACCTAGATGGTCTATGAAGCTAACTCTGTTTTTCTATGCTCAAAATCTTCCAACTTGGTTTAAGATCGAGTTAATCCGGAATTGATTGTGGGGAAGTGAGCATCCGAACAGCTCAAATCAGCCCCAAAAGTTCAAAAAGTCTTGATTTCTCCTGGCTCATCCTTCTTATCGATTGGTGTAGAATAGTTCTCTCCTAGGCAGCATACTCTTCCGAGTAACTGAATTTATTGATTTCTCTAACTCTATGAGGACGGTGATGTAAACTTTACACCGTAGTTCGGCATAAGTCCGTCGAACTGTTTGTATCGGAGTTATGTAAGTTGCCAGCGAACCTCGGTTCTTCTGTCTCTATGCGTTCTGGACCAAGCACCAGGATCTTGCAAGGAACCCCCATCTGTTTGACAGGGGAGAATAGCCTTATCGTTTTCACGATGAGTACCCTATCCTCTCTTGTTTCCCATTTATGTCTCAACTTGCTACTCTTTCTGCTTAACTCAGCGCTGTTCTATTTCTAACTGCACTTCACTTATTCCTTGCTTATAGGCAAAATGAGACTCTAATTTCTTATTCTAACTTTTTTCTCTGTAATTGTGTGTGGTGTGATTAGTGGGCACACCCTGGAGGTGTCGTTGAATAAACAAATAAATAAATAAACAAGTAATGTTAAATAGAAACCAGCTAGTGATTCAGGTTAAGAACACGGAACAGCATGATAGTTCTGTTCGCCATTTTGGCTACTGCCTTGGCAGATGTGCACCAAATGCAACTCACCCAAGTGAGTAACCTTTGACAATGTCATGTTTTACATTGATAAAAAAACTCAAATGGAATCCTCCGATAGTCAAAGGGTATCACACCCAAGAACTTGGGCTCAATAAGCTTTTGATCACGCCTACTAGTGAGGATTCCCGATGACATAGGGCGCTTCAAATGACCCAGGAACTTTTATCATGCTCTAACTAGGCCATTTTTCGAAGAGACGATACAAAACATGGTCTTATCTCAAGCCATAGTCTCTTCCCAGTAGGTAATCTTGAAGATCGTACCGTATCCCAAATAGTATATGTCTTTAGATAGGCAACTACGATAGTGGCCAATACGTGGCCGACGTCAGTATCGGTACACCGGAGCAGGATTTCAAAGTAAGTTATCTGCTCAGTTCTCCCTTATACCCCATCAGATTCCAACACGATAGTAGTCTTCGATTAGGTTGTTGTAAGCACAGCATCCTCCAATTTCTACGTAACCGATGGTTTGTGCGAAATATCTGGCAATGACGATGAGGACTGCAAAGGCGACGCCAGATGTGATCGTGGCTGTGAGAACCCCTTTTGTTTTCTCTTTTTTCGAATTCACAGTTACGATAAAATGGTTTCTAAAAAATCTCTCTCTGATCAGTTTGTGACGTGTCAGTGTGGCCCCTCATACACTATATGTGGAGCCGCCAGATCGGTAAACGGCCTAGATAGGGCGTTACTGGGGCTCAGAGATAGTGTCAGCTGAATGTCACGCCCATAACGGACGAGTTTCAACACAGTTGTCGAGACAGCACCACCTTGACGGACAGCTTCGGCTCGATGAAGTCAGCTCTTTGCGCAATTGCAACAATAGAAATTTCATTCGGATACCCCTTCCTTGCCTTTTCCGTCATGGTGATCTCGTACAACTTCTAGTTCCACTGTTTCTGAAGGCTTTTTTTCGCGATGTCAAAAGATTTTTCATTCTAATCGCCTAGGTACTACATACATACTATGGGTTCCCGTGGACAACCTCACAGTGATGACAATTCGCTCTTACCCGGAAATTCTAATATTTATCACCAACATCGCCTGAGAATAGTCATTGCTATGAAGGATTTCAGTTGAAACACCTTTAGCGCCTACATTGATTGGAATTCTTCTGGAATGAGGCTTATCAAATGGTGCAACTCTTCGACAATTCTTTTTGTAGTGATGATATTCATCTTCAAAAAAAGTTACAAAACGTGATTGAACCCTTGTGACTCCGTATGTTGATCCGATTTTCTTACTGACACACCTTTCAGTGATATGCAAGATCTTCTGTCCTAAACGGGCCTGCTGCGAGAAAAAACAGAGCGCCTGCAATGGCAAGAACTTTTTCAAACCGACAGCTTCGAAAACATATGAGAAGGTGGATGGAAAATTTATTGAGAGGGTAAATTCTTCTGATTCTTTAAAAGTAGTAGTAGCTGTATTCAGATCCTTTATAGTTAGCGTTTTCGAGTAGGGTGCCGTGTCATATTGCTTGAATACTCATAAAAGTAGTTCGATTTCATCAAGACTCTTTTCTAATGAGTAATATTTACAGTGGCCGGCAGATGCTGAAGGTGTTGTTGGGAAAGATACAGTACGACTCGGCGCCAACGGACCCAAGAAGTTCGTCATTCCAGGAACCGTGTTCGGGCAAGCGGCAAAGTTTAGATCTACTTTCTCCGATGTAAGTAACTATCGGCAGAATTACATGCTCATAGAGTCTGGACCTTTGCTATTTACTGTATTTCGTCGAAGTAAAACCTAACTTAACGAACTATGCGTTCCGACCCTTGTGGGAATTCAGGTCTCTACTTAATCGGACTGCTGCTCAATGACACTATTGACTCAGCCCCAAAAAAGTGTTCCGTTCTTATCAGCACTTTCCAAACAGACGTTGAAATTGATATTGCCCGTATGAAATAATTTGACATGCTCACTATTATAGAACGATGTCGATGGCGTACTTGGATTGGGATTCCCAACAAATGCAGCTGGCGGAATCACACCTCCAGTAAATCGAGCTATTGACCTTCATCTGCTGGACGAACCTGTATTCACCGTCTACATGAAGGCGGCTAATGGTAGGTGACACAAAGTAATCCCACACCTCCGTAGAAACTTCGTTGGATTTTAAATACTGATTCATTGACCAGCTATTGGACTTAAAACTGTGAGATTTCACAGTTGATCCCTGCAACTGTTATGTGCTTCGAATATATTCGATATATTCGATATATTCAAAGCAACGAGCATCTCTCCCCAGGCTTTTTCTGGCCACATTGGCTTTAATCACATTTACCACCAGGTATTTGAATTGGTTGAACATCTGTGGGTGCTCTTGGATCTTGGCAAGGGTAGATACTTCCAATACTCAGGTACATACCACTAAAACTATGGCTACACTTTTTACCGCAGTTTTCTCTCCAATTCTCCAAACAATCTCTGAAGAGAAGCTGCGATTGACAGTGGTGTTGGGGTGGGGCTCCGGTAGTGGTAAGAGGTGCTGTTCGAAGTACGCAAATGCTCCATGGTGAAGCAAATTACATTTGCTTACCTAGTCGAAATACTCAATAATAGTCATATCTTGAAGATACCCTCAACATTAACCCTTTGTAGTAACGAGTATTACAGGCAAAGAAGGCGGTGATGGTGGTCTCGTCACATACGGTGCTGTCGACACAACCCATTGCGGACAGATACTTGCCTATGAGCCTCTAACATCGAAAACACATTGGCAGTTTGCGGTACTTGAACATTACTGAATTCGCTAAATCCTCAAAATATTTCAGTGGCAGGTGCCACATTTGATAAGATGTATTGAGACTCAGTAGACTATGGAAATCCCACTACTATTCTACCTCAGATTACTTCTGTGACATCGGGAAAGTACCATTCGACTGCGAAATGGTCAGCCAGATCAGACACCACAAACTCTTTCATAGAGATGCCGGCGCCAGAGGCAGCTGCCATAGCTGATGCACATGGAGCAAAGGTAGGTCGTGCATAGTTCTGAAAACTCTGAGCCCATGGGAATTATTGCCAATATGAGTGTGACTGTGACTGTCAATATATAAGAAAAGCTCGAAAATGAGTTGTTTTTACATAATTAACATCCCAATATTCTTCCAAATTGAATACATGGCTCACTCTAGACTGTTCCATAACTCCTCCTTGAATCAATCATTTCAATCATGAATTTTCAGTGGGATAATGATCTGGGTCATTACGTCATTGACTGCAAGGCGAAGGCATCAATGGAATTGACGATTGGACAACGCAAATACACCATCGAAGCTAAGAATTTCGTGTTGTCAGCACCTGACGGTCGCTGTGTGCTGGCGCTCAAGCCGTTGGCTACGATGACTTTCGGATACGTCATGTCTCTAGGAGTGCCATTCCATCGCCAGTTCTGCACAGTCCATGACTTCGGGCAAGGAAGAATCGGTTTTGCAAATTCCTTGTGAAACTAATATGAATTCTGTAACTGTCGTGAAAATGTGGATGACACCCTTTTTTTTGTTTTGTTGTTTAACATTTTGGGGAAAATAAATGTCATCGCACAGAATTGTAAGAATCAAACTGAGTAAGAGATACTGTAAGAGATATCTTTAAGCTGCCAAATCTTTCCACAGAGCTGCGGATGTCGGGAACTGGCGACTATGAGGCCGTCTCCAGTAACAGGAGAGGTCAGAGCCATTCTAATAGCTTACTCATCCTTTATCTGTGATGTTCCGACTAGACGAGCGAGTTTCGGCAAATGGCGCTCAATCACCAGACACCCATGAGCGTTCCGTAATCCGAACTTGTTGGCAGCTCCCCTCAACGTAAATTACGCCTCAGACTTGGTATCACCGAGAAAACCCTCTTCACCATTATTGCTCCTTCTAGTTTTTCTCTGGGGTGTGTCATCTCATACCTACTGCTCCCAAGAAAAGTTCCGATCAGAGTAATTAAGAGGAGGGGCTCGAGGCTAGTTAAGGTTCATATGTGGTGCACAGTACGCCAACTCAAAGATGAAAACTTATTTCAGATTTATCAGCTGTAACCCAATAGTCTTGGCTCTTCACCCCTTGAGTAATTTCTAATTCAAGCCATAACATCCGGAATGGCATTTGGGTGCTCTTTTTTTAAAAGAACCGCCGTTTTTATCAGAAGAAGAAGTCAGATCATGTCGTGAGCTTACAGCCTGAATATTTTGGTAGCGGTTGAACAGTATGCAATGCAGTAACAGGAGGAAATGATGGGATTGCCTGCTCATACAATGGGTTACAATATTCCCCTTCCCGACTGCTTTCTTACCGTAGAGATTAGGAGAATTCCTAAATTCCTGCAGTAGCAGGCAGTGATGGTAGCTCGCTCAAGATAGGGCTAACTTTGATTTTGACGGTTCATTATAATAGCATTTGGCTAAATCTTGCAGCCCCTAGGACTCAGAACTGTAAGTGACATTGCTCTGACTCCTAGGTCTATGTAGCTCCGTGACTATTTGTTGAAAAGTGTAGTCCTCGAAAACAGTCTACACATGTCAGGAAAAAGTTGGCTAACTGAAACTTCTACTACTATCTCCACTGATTACAGTGGTGATCCACACATGTCCAAGCGTGAGTGTTTGAAAAACCACCGGCAAAACGGATCAGATCTGGATATTATGTAGATGATCGTCCTTTTTTTTCAATGACGAAGAAACTTCGAGTGAATCTTCCCATTGCTGGATTTATCAGTGCTTCAGCAGAACAATCAATGATCCATTTTTACGAGGCAAACAGCAGATAATAATGAATAGGGCAGTGCTTCATACTTTGCTTTTTGATGCGTCAATAATTCTACTAACACAGGACTTTCAAGTTCCTTAACCTTTTTTCAAGTCGAATTTACTGTAGTCCGAAGCGAACATCTGATCACAAACCGTGAAATGTGAATATATGTTTATTTATTCACTTGTTTATTTATGTGTTTACTGATGTATTGATACCCTCGATTCTGCGAACCTAGCCGTGTAAGTCCAATGAACTCAATGAAAGCAAAGCAACATAATTGTCTGAAGGAAACGGTAGTCCCAAAGTCAACTGCGACGCATACCGAGAGTTCAGTGTTTAGGGTAAAAATGAAGAGCTGCCTGATAGCTCTGCTGGCAATTTTGGCCACTGTATTGCCACATGTTTATCGAGTGCCCATAAGGAAAATTGAATCAAAGCGGGAAAAGCTGTTGAGGCTGGGCTTGTGGTCTACATACGTGAAGGAAAAAGCCGTGG